TTTTTTTTAGAGACAGGGTCTTGGTCTGTCTCCCAGGCTGGAGCGCAGTGGTGCAACCACAGCTCACGGCTGCATCGGCCTCCTGGGCTCCAGCAGTCCTGCCTCAGCTCCAAGAAGCTGGGGTCACAGGAGCAGCTGCCACACCCAGCTAAATTCAAATTTCTTGTACAGACAGCGTCTCGCTGTGTTGCACAGAGTGGTCTCCAATTCCTGGCTCAAGTGATCCTCCTGCCTTGGCCTCCCAAAGTGCTGGGATTACTGGCATGAGCCACCACACCTGGCCATGTTTTCCCACTTTAGAAAAAGGAAATTCTTGCTTTTGCCCAAATATATTAATTTCTTTGTCCGAGTACCTCTGTGATTACCATGAATGGTGTAAGTAGCAAAGAATGAAAATCGAACTAAAAATTTACTTATTTCAAAAGTGCTTTAACCCATAACCAACCCAACACCCGCTTTCTTAAAACGCATTTATCCTTCAGACGTGGCAAGATGCCTGTGACCTTGTCATCTACTCCAGGGTGACAGACGGGACCAGGTTTCCACGCAGCATTCTCCACCGACCCCAACCGTGACCACAGCCGTGGACCCTCCGGAAAGTCAAGACTGGCAGCAACCCAAGGGTGGCCCAGGCTGGGGCGACTTCCCACCCCGAAGGGGGACCATTGGCGTGACCCAGAGAGCATCCACGAAGCAGCTGGCCCCACAAGGACGTCCTTGTCCTCCAGCCAGAGCTGGGCCTCATTCTCCCAGATCCAGCGTCCTTCTGAATTGTGCCTCACTCCAGTGTCCCAGGTAGAGGCCATGGGAGGGGCTGGGGGCCTCAGGGTTCCTGCCCCCCCTGCCCAGAGCCTGCAGCCCTGACTCAGGAGGGCCCCCCATGCACCAGTGGAAGCTGTGGACCCAGGGAGCCCATCCCATGCCATCATCTGCATGTGGCCCGTGGCCCCAACAGCCCTGAGCCAGTCCGTGGTGCAGGAGGGGCCCTGGGCAAACCAAGGTGCTGCCCCCAAGTCCCCAGTGCCCAGGGCCCACCACTCCTCAGCTGGCCTCACGCCCACTTATTCCTAGGGCCCAGGAATGCTGCCCCTTTATCAACCAGCAGGGCCGCTCCCGGGCCACAGGTGGGGCCTCTTCCAGTCGGAGGCTCCTGTGCCAGGGACTCTGGAACACGAATCTGTGACAGACGGGCCCAGGGAGGAGGGTCTGAGGGAGGAGGGTCTGAGGGAGGAGGGGCCAAGGAAAGAGAAGTCCCAGGAGGAGGAGCCAAAGGAGGCAGGGCTGTGGAGGAAGGTCTGAGGGAGGAGGGTCTGAGGGAGGAGGGTCTGAGGGAGGAGGGTCTGAGGGAGGAGGGTCTGAGGAAGGAGGGGCCCAGGGAGGAGGGGCCCAGGGAGGAGGGTCTGAGGGAGGAGGGTCTGAGGGAGGAGGGGCCCAGGGCTTCCTCCAGGCAGCTGGGTCAGGGCATCCAGGAGAGCCCGGCTTGGACACCACTCAGGGTGAGTGACTGGCCCTCTCCCGGGAAGTGCCCGAACCCCTGAGCAGTCACTTAGGGGTGGCTATGGGCAGAAGCTGGGCTTGGCCTGCCCTCCCTGCCAGCCAGCCCGCCCAGGCCCCTCCACGGCTGGTCTCTTCAGGGCTTCTCCGGCCATCACTTTATTTTTATATGTTTAAGACGGAGTGTTGCTCCTTCGCCCAGGCTGGAGTGCGCTGCTGTGATCTCGGCTCACCGCAACCTACGCCCCCCGGGTTCAGGGGATTCTCCTGCCTCAGCCTCCCGAGTAGCTGGGATTACAGGTGCGCACCACCACGCCCAGCTAATTCGTTTTTGTATTTTTAGTAGAGACGGGCTTTCGGCATGTGGGCCAGGCTTGTCGAACTCCTGACCTCATGTGATCTGCCCACCTCGAACTCCCCAAGTGCTGGGGTGACAGGTGTGAGTCACCGCGTCCGGCCTGACCATCACTGTAATGGCAGGGCAGAGTCGGGGGAGCAGGAGCCAGCACAGCGACACCAAGGGCCTCCCCGGTGACGGCGCTCTGGGCCTCGGGATGCTGACCGGTGACAGGGTCAAGCACGGCGCGGTGGGCTGCCCCACTGGGGGAACTGTGGGAACGGCAGCTGTTCACCTCCACCTTAAGTCTGCCCTGAAGGACCTCCCTGCCACCTCGGACCCTTCTCCAAAGCTGCCACGGTTCACTGATGCCGAGACCCCAAGCGGAAGCTGCTGCTCCACGTTTGTCCCCATGTGAACGGCGGCTGATGCTTTAGCCGGGCTCTGATGGGCCAGGGTGGTTGCCGAACTTGGATGCGTCCTGTCTGCTCAGATGGGGACGTGTGCCCCGTCCTGCTGGGTCCCTTTCCTGAGGGAGGGGCTGGCCCCCAGCTGAGGCTCCCACATCTACGTCCAAAGCACACACACGATGCTGGAGAAGTGAAAAGCTGGTTCCCTCCATTTACTCACAGATGAAAAGATTAAAACATCAGCAAATCAAAATCAGAGAATTCCTAAGGCACTCTGTGCAACAGGAACACAGCTGGACGTGCGGGTGGGCACACGGCTGGCGTGGCTGCCTCCACACGGGGCTGGGCAGGCCAGGCCCTCCTCAAGCCGTCTTGGCCCGGCTGCCGGCTACGGGAACGCTGGGTCCTGGATGCCATGGTCGGGGTTGCAGCTGAAGGCGATGGTGATTGCGTAGCGGGTGCCCCAGCGGACCTTCTCCACCCGGTGCAGGTTCTCAGACCCCGAGGTGAAGAAGGAGACGCGACCTGGGAGAGAAGAGAGAGAGGTGACCCCGGGGCCACAGCCAGGGCCTTCAGAGGGCCTGCGGTCCCCAAAAGAGCAACTGACCAATGAACACAACAAACCAGGCAGGCTGGGGAAATCGCCCCTCTGCGAACTGCTTCTGCGGGAGCAGCAGGAGCTGGAGAAACCACCTGGTAGCTCGGGGACCTGTGGCCGGGGAGGGGCCCCCGGGGCCAGCGGGGACTCTCTGTGGTGGGCAGCACAGAGGAAGGAGCTGCAGATGCCGCCAAGGCCACCACGGGCTCCAGGCGCCCTAGGCCCTTTGACCTTCTGAGCTCTCACGGCGGGCGCCCCAGGCCCTTTGTCCAACACTTTAGTATCTTGTTTCTAATCACAGGCTGAGAACAAAGACCAAGCCCTGGGGGTATTCTAACAAAGAATCAGGAAAAACAAGTCAAGATAAAACATCCAACTGGCAAACACCTCCCCGGCTCCCTTCATGGGGAGACAGGGCTGAAGCCTGAACAGGCAGCTTCCAGAGCAGCAACCAGGACCCTGAGAAGCCCTGGGGGCAGCGCCTCTCCAAATTCCTATCTCAAGAGATTCAGGTTCCCCTGCTCTGATGCTGAAGCGGCTCCGCTCACCCCACCGTGGGGTTTCTGCTGCAGGCGTTCACCGCTGGGCCATCCAGACTCAGAGGACCCCGCGTTCCCCCACTCGTCCTGGCTCCAAATGTCCTGTGACAATTTCGTTCCCATTCAAAGGTTACCGCTGGAAACTCGATCCCTGCCTTTCATATTTGTAAACTTGACTCCATCTTTGAAAGGGGAGAGAAGTCCATCATGGATGTGCAGGGCATTCTAGCTGGTCAAGAGAGAATTGTACTCTGCCTGGAAGCAGCAGAGCAAAAGAAATCAGGTGGATGCAAAGGACCCTCTTAACGGAGGCCGGGAAGCATCCAGAACACAGGCAAGGCAGCCCATCCCTCCTGGACCGGGCGGGGAGGCCACCTCCAAATACGAAGGAAGGGCGTGTTCCAGGGTCACCAGAGTGGCAGCACCTCACTCTGGGATGGCAAGGTCCATCGTGATGGGCTCTGAAGCCGGCAACACAGAGCCCTCAGCGAGGAAGAAACCTGGTCACCAACACTGGGCTGGGCATCATCTAATCTTAGGTTGTGAGTCCTTTTGAGAAGGGCCCAGCGGTGAGCGTCCCCCAGAGGGGAGCGAGGGGGACCCTGACCGCCAAGGTGACACGTGC